CTTGATTTTCTAGTTTGTTGTTTGAAAGTCAGCACCGAATATTCATTTTCGAAGGTAATGGAATTTTGGAAACTTAACTATATTAATACGATATATTTCCGAAATATTTCTGCGTCTCCTTGCCTGTTAGTCCAGAATTTCCTGCAAAGAGTATCAACTGCATTACAAAATGATTTATTCAAATCTCTAAAAATTTCCAAAATACGATTTATTAGGAAATAATTTTGTTGTTTCCAGGAGAGCCCATTGCTTCAATTCGTTGTGTTTATCTTCATCGTGATTGGAAATATTTATAATTTCAGCTGTACAATAACTAAAATGGAATTTAGTATAAATTAAAAAAAAAAACATAACTCAAGAATCAGGAAATAACCTTTCGTCGAATTCATCATCAGTGTGTAATCACTTTCGCTTTCACTTTTTATATTGTCTCTATCAAATTTCTTATGAAAAACATAGTTAATAAAGACATAGTTAATCTCACCGTATAGCTACATTATTTATTATAACAACGGGTAGGACCTCTTGTCAAATTCATCACCAAATTCATCGTCAGTTTCGTCAGTCATTTTCTCCCCCTACATCACTCTCTACTAGGCTAGACACAAGATGGAAAGTCAATAAAGACATAGATAATCGTATTAATTTATATTACCGCTGACCTTTTGACATCATAATTTGAATATTTTTCCAGAGGACTAACATCACGGCGTCTTCTCTTGATTTCATGGTTAATGTCATCTACCCACTTTTGCCCGATGATAGTATCAAATTCCATAACTCTTTTTTTCTGCATTGGCCCTATGTTGAAGTTGATAAAGATTCTCTTTCTAAAAGGTAAAAAAAATTCTCGAAATAAACACGAAACCACTGCGAAATTCCTTAAAGTTCTACAATATTTATATTTTGTACCTCTGCATAGTATTTAGTCGTAAGCTTACTCCAGTATTGAGAGGTAAGGAACTGAAAATTATCGATCTTCAAATGTTTACATATTGCCTTACTTCCCTTTCATGGTAATTTAATAGGTATTCAACCGTGTCTCTAAGAGTTTGCTCTGCTTGAACTCGATGGTCGTGCTTGAATTTAAGCTCTTCGAAAAATGATATTGCAACTTCGGACTTTTCATCAATGGAAATCAAACGTTTTGTATCTAACTTTTCTTTTAT